AATGTGATTTTCAGCATTCAGCACTTTCATTCAAGAAAATGTAACTTTCAATATTTATCAGTCACACATTCAATTCCTACATGTACAAGCAATGAACAAATGACAAAAACTATGTACTTTTGCACGTAAACAAGTTCTGTGTAAACCTAGAAAGTAGCTGACCTCTATGAGCAAGGTACATGTAGCCGACGCGTTTTAGCTGATGCATTTCATCAGCCATCGGTGCTTATTGAAACCCCTGATACATGCCGTCACTTTATCATCAATGTCAGGTGTATAACAACTATTAAGTAGTATAAGAATTAATGTACCTGTTGCTTCAGTCAAGGAACCTCTTAAAGCTTTGATTGTCTCATGAGCCTTTCTCAGCTCAAATTCCAAAACTGAAATACAACACAATTAACTAATAAATATTGATAACAAAAGACAAATGACCCATGAATAGGACGAGTTTCTCTGACCTGCAACTCTTTCATCAGCGTCCCTGGCACCATCATCAGAATACCGAGTGTAGTCATCTAGTGAGTCGATGGTAGCTACACTAGATGTGCGAGCTGTAAAAAATAATATACCAATAAAAAATCCATTAAATTGATATCCATACCTAACCCATGAAGACTCAATAAAAATCCATTGGGGGAGAAGGATCTTAAATGCTAAAATTCTATAAGGTAAGAAGCAAGCTAAACTGGAATTTCCAGAGGGGTGGGAGTAGGGTTCAAGCAGACCCAAACCCTCGGTAAATCAAACCCTCCATATAATAGTTGGAGTATGGATATTTTCAGGAACTGGTTGTTTTGATACAAAGTCGTTTCAACAGTTCGGGAGTATGCCAGTTTTGGAAGAAGCGGTGACGTCATGATTCTATTGTTCTGCTAAAAACACGCAAAAATAGGAAAAAATAATCGCAAGAAACAAGGGAGCTTTTTTTCAAAGCCTGTTCCACGTCTCCTCGTTCAATATCCGGGACTTCCGAGCTAGCAGTACCGATGAAGAAGCCTTCTCCTTCCTTTTTGAATGTCAAGGGAAGTTTCCTGCCACATTTCGGTAGTTAAAAGCGACAGTTTTCAAATGGCCTTCGACGCCGCCGCCGCCATCTTGATGGCCATCGAATGTAAGTACATGACTTTATGTTTAGTTTTCAGTATCTTGCCGAATTTTTACGAAATCAAGACTAATTTTCCTCAAAACTACAACGTGTAAAGTGTGTTCAGGCAAAGTTTCATCGATGGCAACAACCTAGTAAAAATGGCAACCACACATTGAAAATTGCCAACGGACAGGAAGGGTTACTGATATCTATTGATGGTTATGCCTTAGTCTGTCTATGTAGTTTTAGTTATAATCGATCAGGTCTGTTTTTGGTCGTGTTCACCGGCAATGTATGCGACTCTCATCTAGAAATCACTTTATTGATCCAGATCATGTGTGTGGAATGAGTTTTAAATCAGTGTGGGTAGGTTCTTATATTTATTTCTTTTATTTTGATCAGGATTTCCGTCAAAAATGTAGACAAACATCTGGAGATATTACAAACATGTTGTCGCGTTTGTGCTGGGAAAAGGAACCAGGACGACAAAATGCTAAATATCTTCAGAACGACATATTTGTGCTCTGAGGGCAAAATATTGCTTTAGGTTCGCCTTATGTTCCACTGTAATGAAAAATGTAATGTCCAAATTCAACCCTACCTCAATAAAATTAAACATGTTTTTTTTTCTTTGTAGTGTGCTCAGAGGCTTACCCGCCACAAAAGCCCCTCCTTTGACCCTTTCAAAAATGGGTAAGAGGGAAACAGGTTGGAGGGGGTGCTTATACACCTTGTGAGTGGAAGCTCACACTCAATGACCATTCAACCATAGAAGAGACTGTGGCCCTTATTCAAGCGGCTTTAAAGGAGATAGATGAGGAAGGAGTCATGGAAGTGGAGGCTTGTGAAGATTTTCTCTACATAATGTTCAATCCCTCGCGTCAATTATTGTTTATACTTTACAGATGCCAAATACATAATATGTTCAGTCCCTGTGCTGTGCAAAAGGTCAATCTGAAACATGAAAAATGCCACACTCTCCCCCATCAATCCCTGTGCGTGAGCAATAAGCCCACATTTGATGTCATAATATCGAATATGTGTGTATTTGAATAAATCCTAAATTATTGAGATTCTCTTGATGAAAAAACATCTATGTTAATGCATCGTCTTCAACAAATCATCCTCCCTAATAAATAATACATGAGAGACATCTCACAAGATAACTACTGAAAATCGATGTCAGCTGCTACTGTCTTCATATCAATTAAGTTTTGGTTCTTGGTTTTCATGTCCAACAAGGTGTTAAAAAAACAAGATTTTGAGATAAAAGAGTGTGTATAATATGCGAGCCAGCGAGCCATGGCAGCGAGTCATGCAGGTCAGATACGACTCATTGAAAATGATACATAAAAATAAAAAACAGTAATACGGAAAGAATTTACTGTCAGGACCCAAAATAAAATGTGTATTTACAAAAAACAAAATGTAACAATAAATAACTTTTATTGTATCTTTACTCTGATGTGTGAGCTTTGTCTTCTTGAAAGTGCTGTTCAATAGAAACATGAAGAACCGGCTATGAAAAAGAACTTTGGAAAACTTATGTTGTGTCCATGCCAAGTGCAGTAATCATTATTATTTTGGGCCAAACCTTGTCTAATAGAATTGTTTGAGGTCCCCACAAAGAAGACTTGGAGAAAAGTGCTCCTCAAAGTTACAATGCCTTTGGTTTAAAGGCAACCCCAGAGTTAAAAACAATAATTTAGTATTATTCGGATGTAACATCAAATCCCATACAAGAGAATATTTTATAACAAACCATAACCTTGTTGATCTCTGACCTCTGGTCAAATCTGGTGGACTACAAGACTATAGTATCCCATTTTAATCAATAGATCCAAAAGCATGTAACAAGCATAATTCCTAGTTTTCCAATATGTATATTAAATTCTAAAGAGCCTCTTGCATTTGTTAAGCTTGACCAAATAATCAGTGAACTTCAGAAAGTGGAATAATTGAAAGCAATAGGTTTTTTTGAAGCGGGACAAAAAAAAATGATCAGGGATGATAAGTAAGATTTTCACTTTGTGGGTTTTCAAGAAGAAAACGCGGGTACAATACCCTCAGAAATCCCTTGTAAACCTGTTATATACCTGGACGGAACCGCTTCAAGACATAAACCAACAGAACATCATATTCGAAAAAACAGATATTTTACTCACAAATGACTCGCTTGCACCAAAACAATAACCTGAATTACAGCCATCTTCTCCGGCCAGTCGCTCACTCGCGGGAGAGAAACAGAAGCAACGGGAAAAATTACATTAAAACTTACTGTGAAAGCAAACATAAGGAAATGAATTATAGAACAACTCACTTTTTAGTTGTTTCCAAAGCATTCTTTTCTTCCTTATGATATACAAAAATAATGAAATAAATAGGCACAAACTTGTTAGCGTGCTTACCTATTTTCGATGTACTGATTACATACGTAGTGAGGACGAAGTGCCTACTAAGCGCGCGATAAGCGAAGAACTATAGCGCAAGAATGGTTACTCCCTGTCCTCAAGGTACTTCCCAATTCATAGTAACGAAAAGACAAATAAAAGGCTCGATAAAACAAGAATAAACGAGAATTTTGGTCAATACTCTTTCCTCTCCTCTCCTCTGTCCGCCATTTTGTATGTTTTGAAAATGACCATCGCTAGGGTGATCATGTTATGGTTGGTGACGTAGACCATTGTTTTCGCTTCTTCCAAAACTGGCATACTCCCGAACTGTTCAATACAAGCTTAAGCAATGAAATTGTACAAACATTTCGATCACTTCATATATAGCTTGCGTGTGAACAAGAAAACATTTTGGGTGAATATTCTTCGTTCCTTAAGCCAAGTACTTGAAACAATATTTACAAGTCAACCCAATAAACTTGTATCGAAACAACCAGTAAGCATACTTTCTGCAACAACACAATACGCATGACACAAGATGCTTTAACAAGCTCAAAATTTAAAAGATTAAAATGATCATGCGTTAAACATTTCCGATCAAAGTAATAAGGATTGATCGTACCATTAACAACGATTACTTTTTCGTGATGTTAGATACACTTCAGCTCTCTTGTTCTATTAAGCATACATGTAATTATCTTGTTTAGAATATATTTATACATGCTTAGGGTTTGTTGGTCTCAAAAAAATTAGACACCAGTTTGGCTTAACTATAGACGAATTCATCATGAGCGCTGCTATCTTTCAATGAAAATGAAACACAAGAAATTAAAGCTGAGATATTGGCCATAATATTATGTTGCATAGGCCTCATCAAATTATCACTTCCGGGCTTGAACTAAGATTTATGAGACAAGAAAAACAAGTTGAAAACCTAGAATATAACACAAAATAGGACACTTGAGTAGAAAATAACACAGCGATAGAGAATGAAATACTTACGAAGTATGGAAGAAAGTGCATCCTTGGAACTGCCCGCGGTCACGTACTGACGTTCGAAGTTTCCAGGATTCGAGAAAAAATCACGCAAACGAGAAATCTCCAATCCTGCTTCGACTAATTCGGCATGCAATTCGAGTGCAGTTAACAGTAGATTATGTTTCAAGAGCTTTTCGGCGAATGCATCAAAATCGCTTGCAACTAGACGGGGGCGATTGGCTTCGATTTCCTCTTCTGCATCCGCCATTTTTGTCGTATTTATTTCCCCGAGACGCGGCTACCAAGTTGAAACGATGAGCCTGCAAGATAAAAGGGTCATCTGAAACTCGCAGCATTATATGCGTGACGCAACGTAAACAAGACGAAATGAATCGATAGAAAAAAGATATTTTCGACGAATGTACATCAATGATGTCATGAATTTAGGGTCGAATTTTGCATAGCGATCTGCAGAAATTTGCAGATTTCATCTTTTAACAGCGAGTAATTATTTCTGTATATCTGCACCCAGCTTAACTATGCTGGATCTTGAAGTTGTTCCTGAAAGATCACTTGGAAACGAGCAATGGGAGTTTATACTAGGTGTGTTGCGCGCAACGTAGTCGATCAAGACACATTGGTTGTTTTCTCTTAAATTAATTATGTTAACTCGATTTACGTTTGCTCAAGTAATTTATACATCTTTTTTCTCGGTTTCTAGGAATGCCTGTTGCACAGTGCGTTCAGATTCTCAAACGACAATGTCGTGTTATAAAATCCGTGCAAGCGATGTACAGCGAGGCGGTAAGCAGATTGTCCCGCCAAAAAAGTTGTTTGTTAAAATGTAAATTGCAAGAATCAAAGTATTAAAGGGGTTTCTCGTGATAAGTAGAGCCTGTGGTTTGTTGCTTCATCGATTTGTGAAAACTTTTCTCACTGCTGTTAATGCCAGCACAGGTTTTTATATGTTTTAATACATCGGGACTGTCTTGTGACCAAATGGTTAATAATTACATGGTATAAGTTTTGGGACGAAAAGAATGTGATCACGAGACAGTTCCATTTCTTGCGATTTTATTTACAGAATCCCTTGGCCATGGACCTAGTTTTAAACCTGCCAAATGATGGTATTAGACTGGTGTTTGATCCAGTGACACAGAGACTGAAGGTATATAATTGCCGCAAAAGATTCATGTACATGTTAATGCATTATGCTGATTGGAAAAATTGAAGAACAACTCCCCAAAAAATCTGGCAGCCATCTGTTGGCCAACTGTCCACCAACAGTCGGCCAAATAAAGGCCGACAGTTAGTCGAGAAATGGCTGACAAGTGGCCAACAGTGGGAATAACTGTCAGTCAACTGTTGATCACTTGCCGGTTATCTGTCGGCAATATGTTAGCGCACTTTTTCATAACAGAGAGCTCTAAGTAGGCACAAAATCTGTTTTGACTGTGTATTATTTGTCAATTATCTATTTATTTATGTTATATCTGTCCTTTTTTGCTTGTATTTCATTTTTCCATTCATGGTGTTTGTTAATATTTTAAGGGATGCACAGTCTATCAAGAAGGAAAAAAACTGGCTGCAATAATGCAAGTACAAATTGACAAATTTAAAGCACAAAAATTTAATTTATGTGGAGATCTAATGGTTATTTTATTGTATTTCACATCAAATCCACCATAATTTGGTTAAAAGCCAGAAAACTATTGTGGAGCATACAATGTATTAATTTTACTTGTCCCAGACTGTGACACCCTGAGTTTGTTTGGTTTCAAATCTACTTTTGGATAACAATTAAAATGTTAAAAGATCAATTACTAATATATTACTTTATTTGTATACCCAGATAATTGAAGTTTATAGTATGAGCAAAGTCAAGCTTAAGTACTGGTATGATTGACTATTCAAGTTGACCCATAAATAATTCATTAATAATAATTATAAACAATTATTGGATGAGGTTTTTGTGATATCCAGAATAATCAAGATCAAGGTAGGGGTTGTCAGGCGAAACGGAAGGCTGAGGCTGATAACCCTTACCTAGACCTTGATTATTCTAGATATCACAAAAACCAAATCAAATAATTGTTTTATTATACATTGAACGAAAAAAAAAAATAATAATAGTAATAAAATAAAAATTGTCACGACAGTAAAAGTGGAACAAAGCAAACCTGGAAGTCCTGTTTTTGCTTCTTCACTAACGGCAAGCAACACAAAGTGTGTGAACTTGACATGATTACCTTTAGAAATCATGCACCGCAGTCATACATGACATGATTACCCGTGACCTTGAGTGTTGGTGACATGATTATTGTATAATCTGCAGCTAGATGACATCCCAAGCGCTGATTTCGAAAATTCACTGTACGCTTTCGGCCAATCAGAAATGAGATAGTGATCGGGTTAAATTTATAGTAATAATTATTATTATCAGCCCTTAACTAGTACTTAACTCTATCACGTTGCAACATCATCCAACGTGATACAATGGATGGATGAATTAAGGGGTACTAAGAAGTGAGTAAGAAGTTTAAAAGCTTTAAATATTTGTCCGCATTTTAACATCGGCTGGGCAAATGACTTTTACATATTATTGTTGATGGCCTTTACACCTGTAGTTCTATTTAATCTGAAGGGAAACATTCAAAATGCAAACTTTGCCATATTTTATTTATTTTTTTTTACATAGTGGGATTTGGTATATGCATATTATAATATTTTTCTTTTTGCAACTGTTATTAATTCCAGTGGGGTTCACTTTAATTCTCCTCAAGTACAACCTACAATTGAACAAATTGACATGTCATTTGGAGCGACCCATCCTGGAGGTTGGTAATTTCAACAAGGTTATGTGTAATAAAATTTCTCGATATTTCAAGTGCCTAACGTATTTTTTAATTACCAGGTACGTTTAATTGTTCAACTAAATTCAGTTGGTACAATGTAAATTTTTGACATAATTCTATAGATTGTACAATTTACATTTGTAATGTAAATAATGTAGATTCATGTAAGGCCTTGATACTTTTTGTTAGCTTTGTGTTATTATTATTATTATTATTATTATTATTATCATTATCATTATCATTATCATTATCATTATCATTATTATCATTATTATTATTATTATTATTATTATCATTATTATTTTATGCAAATCAACAACATGATAAGTGATCCTTGTTTCTTTTATTTTGTACTTTTATATATTTACTTGACATTTATTATTTCTTTGATGTTCATTTCAGTCTATGATCCCAATCATCAGCTGTTTATTCTTAACTTCAGAGGCCTCTCATTTTCCTTTCCCATCGACTCTAAATTTGAGGTATGTTATTTACATGCAATTGCTAGGGTGTGGCCAGGGTTCTAATTCTACTAACAGAGGGGGAGGGGACAGTTAGATTTTAACACTGTATTACAACAACAACAACATTAACAACAACTACAACAAAACTTTATTAATAAGCAGATATAGTATAGCAAAAGCACTCCCTGCAGCTACATGTAGTAAGGCTATTCGAGGTGGGACAGTGCGTGCGAAATGAAATGGAGATTAAGGGTAACTAAGGAAAGTTTACAGTTTACAAATAAATGAAATAAAAATTGGAATGTGGTTGACGACTAGACAACACGATAGAAAAGAGAGAGTTAAACAAATATCAAACTGTAAAAGTAGAAATGAGTTTCATCTGAATAGCAAAGAATTTATTTCTCGACATTTTTGACTGATTTTACCTTTTAATTAAAGTGGGCATGTGGATATAGTCATATTCTGTATTGCAGGGTGCATTTCTAGGAATGCTATTATATATATGAGTGTTCTGAGTGACTCTCAGGAAAAGGAAATTTTCATGCACATGCATTGGGATGACAAGCACAAGCTTCTCCTTTTACTGTTGAATCCAAAGAGGTCATGCATGCTTTAAATACAGTGCTGAAAAAATATGTATAGAGAGAGGTGACTTTCATTTTTAATGGTTTAGCTGAATATTTTTCCCTTACAGCCATACTACACTCATGGACTAGGATCCCTCAAGTTCTCTTCTGGATCATCACCAATTGTATCACGGATGTCAATTTACCATGGCAACAGCCTAACAGATGCAAGGTGTTGTGCCATTCTTATTCCACTTCTACACTGTATATTTGTTACGTATGTGTACAAACAGAAGAGAGCTAACCAAACTTCCGAGACCTAGTACTCTGTTCACCATTTCAGTATCAAAATGGTCTCTGTCCATTTTGTAAGGCAAACATTGTGGTTATAAGAACATAGTGGTCATCAGAGAATACGTAATACTCTACCTAAAAAAAGTTGCCTTTTTTAGTAAATTATCGTCAGTTCTCTAACTGAATACATCATTGTAAACATGCAAAAGGGGAAATATTTTGAAGCCTTATTTTGTCCTTGGCCTAGAGATATTGTTAATTTTGATTTGGTTGATGCTTTTGCTGTTTTCATTGATTTGGGAGTCGCCTTACTAATAATTGTTACACCTTGGGGAAGTCCTTTTGTGATCAAAATTTTATTAATAGATTTTTGACAAGTTCACTTCCCAATGATAAAATAATTTGTGTTGTGGTTTATGATAGAGCACCTCCACTACCTCTGCAGTGTTTCCATGGCAACTGTTTTGCTGACAACATTGACATCATTAACAAGGATGGGAAAGTGTATGGTCTCAAATGTTTTCTTGTTGCTGAAGGTAAAGAGATAAATGATATATTTATTTATTTATTTATTATTGTTTGTTAAGATCATTATTGGGATCAGGAAATTGTAGGGTAGGACTTGGGGAAAGAGTAGGGAACAACGTTGAAAGAAAGACAATTTAGAAACTTTGTTTATTTAATAACCTGTTAAGTTCCAATAGTTGTTGTTACCAAATTTCTTCTTATAATCCCAGTGCTATATTTATCAGTCAGAGAGATCATGAGAATTAAGCCAGGATTACTTTTCAGGATACATTATGTTCTAGAAGCAAGTCAATGTGCCAAACAGCATTTCACCAGCTCCCTTCTGGGCTAAAGTTCAATGACTCTAGTCTCAGTGTGCAACAGCCCCCTCCGCACAAACAAAATTGGATATTTTGTTTCAGGGGAGAGCAGTTGTACACAGGCTAACTGTCTCCAGTCCTGCGGAGCCTTGACTGGGCTGGAAAGGTACTGCTTGTATTCCAAAATTGCTAAGCAAGTGCATTGTGGTAAATCTTCAATACCCTGTTTTCACTGAAGAGCATCTTTTTCTATCACTCTGTTGCTAACAATGAGAGGGAAAAGTAAGTCAAGGCCATCTATAAAAATAATGTGCTTGTAAAACTGAAATCTCTCCTTTTAAATTTGTTTTTTTTTTTTTCGAAAGGCACCGGTCCTGGCAAGATCTTAGAGCTAAGGAGACGAACTTTTGAGAGAGCTATTATGTTTGGAGATTCGTGTCAGGTGTGAATTGATTTGACCTTTAGTTTATAACTAGCGTTTTAAATGCCATGGAAATTTTTAAGTTTTACTTAATTTTAAGAATAAAACTGGGAAAAGAGACTGAAAGGATTACAGGCTTCTGGGACGTGATGTAATACTGACTCATGCTTGCTGTTTTTGTGCTTTAGGATGTGATAAGCTCTCTTGGGTCACCTTGTAAAGTTTTCTACAAGGCTGAAGATAAGGTACTGATTCAAAAACGCGTTCTATTGATCATTATTGGTGTCCAATTTTGCGGCAGTACCTAAAAACATATACCCAATTGCAACAGTTAGCATCCTATCCAGTTCGTGAACATGAGGCTCATTTTTGGGTGTATAGTAAGCATACTCACCTACTACACCTACTAATATGGGAAAGAAAAGGAATAGGGCATTTTCATGATGACAGTACATGTAATTGACTACAACTACCAGAATTCGTTTCGTTTTGCTTTCGTTTTTTAATTTGTCAATGCCACTGAGAATTAAACAACAGCGGTTTTGCCTTAATTTGAAAAAGAAAACAACAAACTACAGCATTCTGGTAGTTGTAGTAAAATTACGTCATCGTACAATTATCCTGTTGATTTGGGTAAATCAGTAGTGTGGCTTGATTGGGTATCCCTTGACTAGGCCCCAGTTGTTCGAAAGATGGATAATGCTATCGATCGGATAAATCACTATCCATTCCAAAGCTTTTCCGCTAGATAGCGATTTATCCAGTGGATAGCGCTATTCAGCGTTACATTCGGGACCAGGCGAAAAACTGATTCAAATCGGTTTGTGGAGTCCCAGCATCCTTTAGTCTCGCCAGTAATTATTCCCTACTTAAGTTGAATTTGATATATTATAATATATTTTTAAAAAATTCTCTTTAGATGCGCATCCATTCTCCATCTCCACACAAGCTCTCTCAGTCTAAGAGTTCTGATTATTTCTTCAATTACTTTACTCTGGGAGTGGTGGGTATACAATTATGTCTGTCACTGTAGTAATTGAGTACATGTTACTATGTAAATAGAACCGCGAGAATGAAGTGATCCGAAGGAAGTTGCTTGTTGAAACGCTTGAAACATGTGTTATTAACCGCTGTACTACACATAGCCTGAGAAACCAGCCGTCATTTTGCGACGCGACCACTAGTTTGCCCGCGAAATGAAGTCTGAGGAACGAGCGCAGAAATTGCATATTGCATACGTGTCACAACCCACATCTGGGTGGTGGTTTCTGATTGGTTGAAGAAAGTTTCCCTCGTGGCTGCATACTGCACTGTAATAACAGCTGCATTGCACTGTAATAAACAAGATAGTTGCGATTGTAAAATAAGGTGCTCTTGTACGAGAAACTCAAAATTGTACGTTTGACAACTTTATACCAAGATAATTCAGCGTAGGGCAAGTGCACAGAAACGTCGGACGCGACCATAAGTGACAGTTGCGAGGATTTTTTCTTATCCGTTTCTAAAACAGCCATTATGCTCTAATACGTAGAGTGGTTATAACTTGTACCATGACAGTTTTTCCCTGTAAAAGAAGTACGGCATGCGAAAAGTACTTCATGGAAAACAAACCTTAGTTTATTGAACGCTTTTGTCGTTATATGAACAAAACAGCAGTGCCACAGGAGATAATAGGGAGCTTAAGCAACGACGACGGCGACGTCAACGAGAACGGCAGAAGAGCAATAGGTTTCGATTGGCAAAGCAACAACTCTACGCGTGCATTACGCTTTTTTGTACATTTCCTTCCCGCCACTGCCTTACTACGACGTGAAAATGCCTAATTTCACGTATTGTGGAGGTCGTGAATACAAAACAACGACTTTGTTTTTCTTTCCCTGAACTTGGTTACACTTTTTTAGAATTCAACTCCAGAAAAAAGAAAAATTGCCAGTATTTGACGAATTGAACGACATGGAATAAGCGCGATGAAGTTTGGAGCAGCGCGACTTCACATTGTTACTGTCGTCTTCGTAGCTGTCGCCTTCGTTGTTGCTTAAGCTCCCTAATAATTATTACCGCGGTCCGCAAATGTATAAATGTATAATTATAACCACGACTGATAATTATCTAAGGATTTATCAACTTTTCTTCCCCAGGACATTTTATTTGATGCTTACAGTCATCAAGTGAAGAAATTTATTCTGCACACCAACTTCCCTGGCCATTATAATTTTAACATGTGAGTAAATACATGCATGTTGCACTGCGCTTAGATAAAGTTAAAGCCATTTCTTGTAAGCAATCATACGGTATATATCTTTTATTAATTATAGGTACCAACGCTGTGATTTCAAGATTGAGATACAGAGAGACTCTAAAGGTAACGGTCTCACTGGAAATTAAAGCCATATTCACCTTCCCACCTACCTCTCCTCACACTCCTTCACGCATGAGGCCTTCACGCTTCTCCGACAACCTGCCCTATCCCTCGTACGAGCTCTTGCTCGCTCCTACGACCCCCACCCTGTCTGGGCACTCTCCTTTTCTACCGTCCTGGGCTGGGTTCTGTGGCTTTCCATCAGGTGCCCAACACTGCTGTTACACAGTGATGTCCTGTCTGCATAAGCAGCGTATGACCAAGCCACTTCCAACGTCTCCTATTTACTACCATACCTATTTTTTTTCATCAAGTTGAAGTTGAACAAGTTATGCGAATGTGTTAGCTCGCTATGTCGAGTTCTAATTGTTGCAAATAAAAGCTTGTTCTCCCTTTAAAACCAAGGGCTGCAGGACTCGGCGAAAAAAAGAGGCGTCGAAGGCCTTTGATATAGCGGGTGCACTCTCCTTGGAAACACATCTGGTCATTGATTTGGCCTTCGAACATCCTCGCTGGATGGCGGCCCCGAAGCCAAAATGTTTCCCGAATTCACACAAATGAGCCTGCTCGCGGGCTATTATTGATTCTTCAATTTAACTGATCTTCCGCTATTTCAGTCACATTTCTCTTTTTTTTTTCTTTTTTTTTTTTCTGTTTTACCATAGTTAGTCACTAACTATGGTTTTACGTTCTTATTATTAGATGCAGTTCTGGGTGACGAAACACCGTTTGTGGTGACTCCCTGTACAAAGGTAAAGGTTGCGTTACAGAATCTCGTATTTTCGAGCTTTCTGTCATCAAGATGCATGCATTATTTGTGAAAGAAATCGTCAAACTGACTTTGTCCTTTTGACGATAGTCTGAATTACCGTTCTTGTTAGGCAAAGACGTGAACATACTATTTCAATCTTATAAAATCCGCTATTTTTCTCTTTCTTTCAGTGGGACAGTGTCCAGGATTATCTGGGCAAACCAGTCGAGGCACCTGTTGTGTTAAACAGGTAAGGTAGAGGTATATTACTAAGTGATGTAACGTTAAACTCGCCGCATACAGCTATCCTAACTAATCTTGTTGGATATGCACGTGAAAACGACCTCGTGGTTTGGAAATAAACTGCAGTCAATTTCAACCTTTTCAATACCCCTAAATCAAAATTCAAATTCTCATTTGTTGTTCCTATAAGTTTCAATAGTAGCAGTTGGGAGAATTTGATAATGTATTAATTAGATTCATCTTCTTTGATCATGTCTCCTCAATTCTCATTATAAGGCATAGATACATGTATTACATGGAGAAACTTCATGCTGAACTTAAAGGCTTAAACTATGCGAATAGTAAATAAATAAATAAATAAATAAATAAATGATGATTTGGAGGTAGCACATCCACAAAGTGGTTCTTCGTCTACCTTACTCCTGGCCGAATTGGAATTTGGAAATGCTGGTTTTTGAGGAGAGGGGGAAACCTGAGTACCCGGAGAAAAACCTCTGGGAGCAAGGAAGAGAACCAATAACAAACTCAACCAGCTATTTGTTTGGAATGTGAGAGTAACAGGTGAAGCATTGCCGAATTTGGTAAAATAACTGTGGGAAAACCCACATAACTACTTGTCTCGTTGTGTTGTAGATTCCCTTGCTCCTAGAAAAAATGAACCGCTCTTAGCGATTTTATAGTTAAAGTCATACAATGGCGCGCGGTCGTTGTCAATGCAATATTACGCTGATTATATCCAAGCTATCATTATGCTTTGTTTATTTTCGCATTTAACGTTGCTCGATGTTTTGAATGCATGCCATAGCTGAAACATTTAAGCACCAAATTAAAAGCGTTAGATATCCCGAACGTTGTAAGCGAAATCGGTTGTTTAGTTATAGGTTTGTACGTGTCACAGTAACTACTTTGGTGACCCTGTGCTTTGTTCTCGCCACAGATCTTCCTCCACCAACACGACAAACCCGTTCGGATCCACCTTCTGTTATAACTTGCAACACATGATATTTGAGGTTTGTATTCGTCGGTCCAGTCTTGTAGGAACGATTCGAAGCGGCGGTTTTTAGCGCAACACAGCTTTGCAATGTAGGAACAATGTTGTAACTAGTCGAAACAATATCGCAAGAATGTTGCAACGCTGTGTTGTGCTAAAAATAGTCGTCGCGAATCGTCTCGTGTAACATCACCTTAAGTACCATTTTCTCACACACAACTGGAAGCCATGCCAAGCCGACCATGCAACAAAACAACAGGTCAGGCAATGGCGGAAGGCAACAAAACAAGTGAACTCTGAAACGCCATGTGACCTGAAGTCCCTCCTTACACTCGAACCCAGTACTCCCAGCCGTGTGTGAGAAAAACGTTTTCCGCTTCTTTAGTTCCTCAGCCTACGGAGAACAGCTGTCGCACCATCGGTGCACACAAGGGGCGTTGTTCCCGAAGACTTACCTCGCGACATGCCGCGTTCTTCTGACAGCCTCTAAAAGCACATCAAACGCAGAGTTTTTTTCAGCATAGGGATTTAGCCAGTTGTATACGAAACACATTGGTGTGTAAAAGTATGTCTACTGTGTAACTGAACAACTTAAGGCAGATTTGAGAGTTGACAAACTTCATCAAATTATTTTACGTTTTCATGGAAATACCACAAAACTGCCGCTTAACCCCCCACCCCAACACTGTCACGGGCGCATCTACCCGTAAACAAAACAAAAATTCATCCAATTATAAGTCCTCTCGGACTTAAGCCCACCTTTAGCTTTTCCTTGCTTGAATGTGAATGATGATAACGTTTTGAAGCTTAATTAAAGACCAGTAAAATCAAAACCACAAAACTGCCACTAAGACCCCCGCCAACACTGTTATGAGCGTATCTCCCTGTAAACAAAACAAAAATTCATCCAAATTCATTTCTCAGATATATAAGCCCCCTCGTATATAAGCCCCCCTCAGGTATAAGCCCCCCTCGGATATAAACCCCCTCGGATATAAGCCCCCTCAGATATAAGCCCACTCGGATATAAGTCCCCTCAGATATAAGCCCCCTTGGGTATAAGCCCCCTCGGATATAAGCGCTCCTAAAATCACTTACCAAGGTGTATAAGCCCAGGGCTTACATGGGCCAGTTTACTTCATTCAGCGCAAAGGGACTCACAATCTTCTTTCAACTGTTTTCTTCAGGTGATGGCTAACAATCATTTAGCATCCGTGACCCTGTATCCCCACAGTAACAATACTGTTTCGGCGTAAAACATCCTGTTAAAGCCCTTCAAGCAAGACGTTTATAAGGAAAGAAGTAGTCTACAAGGAATATTATTTAGTACATATATAAAAAGAATAATATATCAAGGCAACCTTTTTTTTTTCCTCTACATTCTTGCCGTTCAATCATTTTATTTATTGTTGCTCATTATTACTTGTAGTTCTTGGCTGTTTACTGGTTTTACTAGATCATCTGTTAGCTGTATATAGGGTAAAATTTTGGGGAACTGGTTAGCCTGCGTAGCATGGCGGTTTTGTCAAGCCGGGCTCCCGCCCCAATCTCCTCGCGGTTTCTCTGCCCTCGCCGGCCTTTATTACTTAGCGCGCCCAACCAAAACCGCCATGCTACGCAGGCTAGGAACTGGTATGTATTAAGGTCTCCTTGAAATGCGAGTGTGTTGACATTTTTCATGAAACTTTCATGCCCACAAGAGCGGCTTAGGTTAATTTGTATGTAACGTTATTTTCCAGAAGGGTTCATTGAATAGCTATATAGTGTAATGTGTAATTTATTATTACTATGATTTATATTTATGGACATTTCTGACTTATTGTAATATAATGGGAAACAAAATTTAAGTAAAAGTTGAATTGATGATGTATCATGCTCTTTATTATATATTTTTTAATTGGTATAAAATTATAGCTTTGTTATTTAAACTGACAAAAAGGATAAGACGAGACTGCCTGCATTAGCTAAGATATGAAACTATGCGAAAAACAAATGTTTGGTGTTGTTAAGTGACGGTAATGAAAAGCTGGCGTTTCCTTCCAGATGAAGAAATGGCAGCTTTTTACTATTTTTAGGGTGATAAACTTTAGGATTTTCCAGTTCTCAGTTGAAAAAAAAAAGTTTTTCAGTTTCTCTCCGCTAAAAATGTAGACTACGACCGGTCTCCCTTTTTCTTCAGATTTAGTGGGGCAGTAAGCGTGCGCACGAGCGTCAAGAGACGCAAGAAACGAGGGCGACCGTGGTCATTTTCGTGTTTGGCACGTTTCGCTCAACGGACTAAGAAAAAAGGCTACAAACGACGCAGTGCCATGGTTTTTTTCTCCGCAGAAATTCACCTGTTCATTCATTGATGGTGTGGCTATGACGAGTCAATCCCACTAAAGTGTATTTCGTTTTATATGCATATCTTTTTTTAGATCCCTTAATTGATCCTGAATAACAAACTCGAAGAGACACAAATGGATCGCGGAAATGACAAATGACGCGTGACATTTTTTTTTCGCCGATGACGTCATAAACGCGTTTCTCCAAACGGGGAAGGGTTGCAAACGCTAACATTTACTAAAATGTTACCTAATCAACGTAGACTGTAAACCTTCAAGTCTAGTCTTTTATGATTTATTTATTATTACTATTATTTTTATTTATTTTTTTTTTTTTTTGCTGACTCAGACTATTTAGCAATTATTCCTCGAGCCCGAATGGGCTCTGAGTCAATAGCCCATGAGGCGAAAAGGCCGAATGGGCTATTGACTCAGAGGCCATGAGGGCGAGAGGAATAATTGTTTTAGCAGGAGCGGGCTCCTGGTTTTAATTAATCCAACTAATTGGTCAAAAATATCGAGAATAAAAAAATATATATCTAGTTAAAGCTAGACTTTAATCCTTTCCTTACCGCCAAAAAGCCCGCGCTTGTTGCTACTAGTGGGCTATAACATATAGCCTAGTAGTAGCTCAACCAATCAGAATGCAGCATTGATAATAGACCACTATTTGGATTTTACTAATTCCATTTATCTCAATCTCGTCATATCAAAAAAGGAAAACAAACATACGGAGTAACCCGCATTGATATCATATGATTTGCTTTTCTTTATTGATTAACAAGATCTCACCCAGTGTAAATAAGCTCACTTTCATATTCGTTGACTACTGTAAGGCCATCATGCATCCCACTGCTGTTGGTCGGAATGGAGTTCAATATAGTAACATTTTATCTCAAGCTAGAGCAGAAAATACCACAATAAATACAGTTTAAATTGTTCCCATCTGCCCTAGACAATATATTAACACCGGTGCATTTTTTTTTTGGTCAACATTTACTGTTTGGAGATGGAGACCTAGTTTTGAATGACACAATTTTAAGTAGAGACAAAATCGTCACCTTTGTAGTGCGGAGAACATGGCAATGTCCGAGCCACTTTGCTCGCGTCCGAAAAGTTTAAACATGCGTGTCCTTATAAAGTCTTGGTAAAGTCAGCTGGCTAAGAGGCAAAGAAAAATCTGATCACGAGACATTTCACAAATAAAGTGTCTTCTGAGAAAAGAGTATTCCGAGAAAAGTGTTCTCGTGTCTCTTTCTCCTTCTATTATTTACAACCTTCGGCCCTGAGTGGGGAGTAAAATGACAAATTATTAACAAGCATTAATGTATAAATTTTTAGTAGCGAATCAGTGGGCGCGAATAGGAAATCCGTTCAAAAATAGTTGACAACTACTGTAACTTGAATATTTATTTAGTGAATTAATTTGTGCTGATGCTAAACTTTTAATTTGTGGAATATGGTGTTAATCAATAACATAGAGCAATGAACTAAAGTAAGACAAAGTATGCGATCAACAGTTCAATATCTCAATATATCTGATACAAAAAAATTAATTGTTTCAAAGCACAGAAATATAATAAACCATGACTGAAATACAAGATTGTAAAATTTTGCTCTTTTTCTCTAGTCTTGCTTGTGAGCTATTTATTATATAAAATACGTGTAACCACTGCTCGCCTCGACTGGCTCATTTGCTAACGCGGCGGGCAGTGAAAATTTGCTTGTAAAATTTAAAATCGATAAGAAAACTGTTTATCTGAAAGGATCATTTTTATATATCTGTTGTCTGTCAATTAATTTTAATTAATATTTAAACAAGCGCCCTTAATTCATTCATATATGACTTCAACTACTAACTATGAAATTAAAAGAGTTCTTCATTTTTCGCAAGATAACTCACACTTAGTAGGCAGTATGTCGCGATACTTGCAGCTTGTGAATTTTTTATGCTACTGTGTTTCGCTCTCCTCAATCAACATCTCGCCGCAGAGAATTTCGCCAGGTGACAAAGGTGAAACAGACGTGAAATACGAGGAAAGCGAGATCACATTTTTAGTGCATTCTAACTGGACTTTAAAAGTGGAGCCCTTTCTCCGTGTTTCATCGCATGACAGCATGGCGTGTGCTCTTCAATGCCGTAAACGTGTCGTCTGTTTGTCCTTTAACTTTGCTGTATATTCTCGAAGCAAGAAATGTAAACTGCTGCAGGGGGACAAGTACACTTCTCCAAACAATTTCCAACCAAGTCCTCTGTACCATGATCATTACAGCAGAATAGTAAGTACTTATTAAAAGATTGTTACCCTGTTTTGCGTATGTGCGGTGTTTCATGACACTTACTAGGAAATTCCATTCTCGCCCCCAACTCCTGTTGATCCTATATTTTTGCAATTGTTTTTATTTTGTTTTTATTTATTTATTTATTTTTTATTATTTTTCTTGAAGGAGAATTTTATGCTTTGGGATAGATCAACAATTTGGTTCAAAGATTAAAGAAAATAACACCTTTTTTATTCGTTTTGCTTTCAGAGTCCGTGTGAATACAACCCTTGCAAAGACAACACCACATGTCGACCACTTTACAACGTGAATGGTTTTTTGTGCGAAGTTGTCGAAGGACGAATTAAAAAAGGTACGATCATAGTAACTATTGGCGACATCTTTTCTAGAGTGAATGACACCGTTAAAATTTTACTATTTAATCATGAATTGTGGTGCAAATTTGTTGCAAATTTAAAACTCCGCCTGTTTATTTTATTTATTCATTTTCGGTCACGTGGACCTTAACTATTAGAAAAACTAGAAAGGTCCTGAAGGTCTGTTGCTGAATCTTCATGTCGTTCTCTCCTCCGCCGAAGCCTCTTCGTGTCGTAGAGAAGCTGGGGAGAATGAACTGACAAACTGACATTTTGAAATACTTGGCTGTTTTGTTCGATGTTTTGGTTTTGGGGTTGGTTTTTTGATAATGTTTGTTCGTTTGCTTTTTTAGTTTCTTACATAGTGGATAATCATTGTATACTCTACTTTTAAGTAGATTAAAATGTTCTTTGCATTTCTTGGACTGAATTTGCTTCATGTTTACAGTAGTTAGAGTTTTGGATAATAACAGACCTTATGAATGGCGTTTAGGGTTGGTCAGAAATATTCAAAAGCATTATTCAGCACTATTTTGATACCCATCATATCAAATTCGGTTATTGACCAAAGACCGTCACAAATTCCTTAAGGATAAGGATACAAAATTTACGACTTCAAAATGGTCTATTCAATATTTTTTCTTGGCTGAAACACTTAGTGTGACAGTAATTTTCCTTTTTTTTTTAGCTGTTTTTTTTTTTTTTTTTTTTTCCCCGCCCCTTTGGTTAAAATGAAAAACGGGAGGGGGGTTTTTTGGTCCAAGAATGTTTTTTTTGGCCGCTTCCAATTACTTACCTATGGGGACATCTTTAACTTTTAATCTTTTTTCAACGTCTGAATTTTCACGGTCAAACCCAAAAAATTTCCATTTTGTTATTTTTTTAAAAAACATAAAATAAAATTGTGTGTTTGGACAAAGAAAGTAAAAAATACTTTAAAAATTAGATTAAAAAATTTACAACTTAAAAAAGGTTTTTTAATTATTTTTTTTTGGCTCAAAAATTTTGTTTTAAAATAATTTTCTTTTTTTTTTTAGTTTTTTTTTTTTTTTTTTTTTTTTCAGCTGCCCCTTGGTTTAAAATGAATAACGAGAGTGTGTGTTTTGGTGCCAAGAATGATTCATTCGGCAGCTTCAATGTACTACACTATGGGACCATCTTAACATTTAAGCTTGTTTCCAAGTCTGGATATGTCACGTGCAACTCAAAGAACTTACCGTATGGCAGCCACTGGACATGTAATAACCAAGAAAGAATCGGAACAATAATCACTAATGCTGAAAACAAAGTAATCTTCCCTCATAATTACAAGACTCACGTCTTTCACGCTACCAAGCTACAATTGTAACTCGTCAAGACTGATTTATCATTTATCTCCGCAGATGGTGGACGGGGGTGAAGAGTTCAGAATTTGGTACCAAGAGGATTATCGAAATCAGAAGGAAAATGATAATGCTGGTAGTACGTGTACTGATGTGTATGCTTTGTACATACAACTAACTTCACATGCGATATTTCTTTTGACGCATGCGCTTTATTTATACAATAAAAGTTCAAGAGATTTGCCAAGGACACATTTTTTTGTTGTTTTCTTTTATTGTCTGTTCTCATGCTTATATAAGTCCCCACACATTTTGAGCAATAAAATACAACTTGTAACATAAGAAAGATGTTAACATATTAACACTTGTTTAATTTTCTAAATAAATATATCAATTAAACCAAGCGTAAAGACGGAATTCCTGTCGAGTGCTAACAATAACCGAAAAACTTAAGCCCATGGTTTAAATAATAATAATAATAATAATAATAATAATAATAATAATAATAATAATAATAATAATAATAATAATAATAATGAAAAAATCACTAACTGGTCGACCGGTTACTTGATTTCAATAGGTAGTACATCTTGAGCCGGCGATATAGGTATGTGATACAGGGAAGTGGAAGCCTCATTTTGACATTTCGAGCGCTTTGCCTCATTTAGAACGAATCCTGTCTGAGAAAGATTTCCTGAATTTGCTGAAGATTCTATGAACTGCTCTGACGAAAAGTCAGTCCTCAATACTTCAGCGTGTCCATAGCCCTACGCTGGCCAATCTAACTTATCAAAACAGCTGGTAAAAAAAATCTTTGCATTTACAAACGAGTTACTTGAGAGTTACGTTACAGGTAATTTGTCATATAGATAATAACAGAGATTAAGGATGAAAGATAGTTGTCCATAATACGGACACCAGTTCTATTTTCAAACTCTACGGTTGGTCTTAAAGAAATTTCATTTATCTCTAGCATCAATGATAATAGGGGCAGTTCTAAGGACCATATTTTAAAATGGCTATATTCCTTGATGTTCGTATTCAGGGGGGTCAGCTAGGGTTTTCTGGACAATAAATCAATAAGCCCGGATGTTAGTGCCCCCAACCCTCCCCTCCCGGGAGTATGAGACGATGATATATGGTCGTGAGTTTTCTTGCGAAAATCTTTCATCGTCCTCGTCTCAGAATCTAATGGTCTCTAATTGCTTTAGGACATCAATACATACACCTCAGCGCAAGTTTGCCCGGCGTTATTGTCTTCGGAAGAATCGAGTCGATCCTGTCTGTACCAGATTCGGAACTCCACACCAGCGTGCACTTTCTCAGGTTCACGGAGAGTGCGAAACACTAGTTCAGGGGAATTAGCGTGGTAATCTGGTAAAGTATACGCCGCACCATCTCTGTCGGGGAAGATTACTTCGTTACGATTGTTTGTAATGTATGTTAGCAAAGTGAATGGATCATCGCACCCCCAGTGGCTTCCAAACGGGGCTCTATTTTTTTGACAAGTAACATAACCGGAGATGTAAACGAGTTTTATGGATATGACAGCTCCATCCCAGGGTATTGTGAACATCCCGTAAGAGTCGTCTTTGGCTCCGAAACAGATCCTTTCATCACTGACCTTTAACCAAGGAACAGCTGAAGCCAGAAAAGAAGAGAAACAAGAAAAGTGCTTACTTCAGAATGTATGCCATTAAATACTGACTTACCCAAATTGACATTTAAGTGGTCTATCTTACCTTCTTCAATAATTCTGCCACGCCTTTTGCAATAGTAACCACTCCAATTGTAAAGGGTCAGACATTTGGCGCCATTTTTACAACGGAGATCATCGCATGGGCTCTGAATTGAAGACCAAAATTGAAAAATATAGAAGATTAAAATGGCAGCACGTTTAAACGGGATGTAGATAATTACATAAGACTCATTTGAGGCTGGCTGACAACTTTACATAAATTCGAATTCAGGATTGAAGATAAGATCGAATATTGAATCGTGGATCTAAGACCATTGATGATCAGAAATTTGGAAGTGGTGAACTTTCCCTAAATAACTCTATTGCTAGCCGGCAATTTCGACAAACAATTTCATATGAAAGAACTATCTTTAGCTTGAAAGATTTTATAAATAAATTCCCAAACTCGAGTATTTAAATTGAATGTCTATGAACTATGTTTCCGATCCGTTGCAAGGGAACTGAACCGTTACCCTACTTTGAGGGCGTTAGTCGCCACTGATTTTTAACGGTCGTTGCCGCCATTGGTTGTAGTCGTGATAGATGTGTAATATATTCCCGTACCAGTTAAGAAAGACAGTTTGCTAGTTTATTTATTCAAATTTTGCGGAATTTGGGCAGGTCGATGTGGTGGTGTAGTGGTAAAAAGGGAGAGAGATTAGGATACAAAAGGTCCGAGTTTGACCCTGAGTTGCGATTTTCTTTTCTTTTTAATAAAAAAAAAAAAAAAAACTCTCAATAACTGGTCAAAAGTTTCTAAGTGCCTTAAAAAAGGCAGCGACCGTTAACGAAAGGGACAACTACGGCGCCGAAACTGTGAATTTTCTTACCGCAAACAACTGCGAATTAAAGGGGCGGTGTCACGGCAGTCCAGTTCATTTTGTTTCATTTTGCCAGTTACTTGCCTCAATTGCTATGGAACTTCACGTAAGCAAAGAAATTACTTGTAAATGATACAAGCAGAGATTCGAGACAAACAAATATGTCTCCTGAGCATTATTTTTGAAGTTACAAACAGCAGAGATCAACTCTGAAAAACTGTTAGGCTGAAAAGTTTTCAAAAACCCTAATTTCAATCCGTTTAAATGTTCTTCAGTTTTGCCCATCTGTGGCATCTGTTGTGTTATTTTAACCTTCCTTTAATGTTTTAAGCGGTTATTTTTACGTTTCTCTTAATTTAACGGACATTCTGTAATAACCTAATTTGGCTGAATTTCGTGACGCAGCTTCTTTAATTAGCAGGAAACGCTATGATTACGGTAAAAATAAAGTTAAGAAAAATCATCTCCGGTTAAAATGTAGCACGTAAAACATTTAACGGACCGAAAAAAGGCAAAAATTGAAGTGTCAAAACTAGACAAAAGAACGCATTTCTTCAATTTCCAGTTGTCTAAGAACGGGCATTCAACGGTTTATACTATCCTCCGTTCCCATAGTGACCGTTGTAGTGAGATTTTACTCTAAATGCATTAGCGCGATTTACAACTCTGGAGCTTCCGTAAAGTGCTTTCATTATGATTAATTCAACAGCGCTTTTTCTCTTTTCAAAGCTATTTATTTGGATGAGAATAGTATTCTATATCTAATTTGTCGATCGACTGAGAAAGTCTCTTTGAACTCATGTGCAAAAAGTTCAGGGGCACCCAACGAGAATATAGTTTTTAAACGGTAGATATAGGCATATTTTTTATCCTCTAAAAATTTTTGATCTGTTCGGATTCTTTTGTGGTTGCTAACTATACCTACCTACCTTGTCAGCCTACCTACCTAACTTAGTGGCCAGCAACGTCGGACTTAATATCAAAAATTAACTTGCTTCAAAAAATTCTGTATTGATCAGTTCTTGGTCTAGAGAAAGAACTTCCTGAGATACTTTGTTCAAGAATGAATGCAGTTCAAAGTCTTTTTTGGTCGACTGTGTGCGCATACACTAATTACTTTCCTAACAAAGCGTATGTATGCATCTATTTTTTTGTTGTATTCAAGAGTTAAGACGGCCAATTAAATTTAACGTATTTACCTTTTCCTGACAGTTTTAGTAAAAAAAGAATTGTTTGTAATCAGAACTAAAAAGCTCACTGCTATAAAAATACATAAGTAAACCAAAGTCATGACAGGATCATAAAAACAGAATAATTACTACATGACGTACGTACCACAATACTATAATGGTGGTAGGAGAAGTTTTTCTCAAAGTTATAGGGATATCTGTACTTGTCTGTCGCCAGCAATTCGCAACGATGTCCTTGGTCTTCCGGATGAATAGCAAAATTGACAGAGTAGCACAGCGAATGACTGATGCATTGGTGGACACAAGCCATTGAGTCGAAGACATGAGCGAAAGCAATGTTTTCTTTGTTGAGGAAGCTACTCAAATGCTCAACAAATTGTGCTCGGTTCTCAAAATCAGATTTAAGGTATTCTTGCAAATATTTCCCTTGAGAAACATTAAGAAATATTCCGAGGAAATTTAAACATTTTACAACGATCCGTAAACAACGCATTTGCGCTAACTTGATTTTTCAAAGCTGTCGTGAAAATCGAGAAGCTGCAAGCTACATTTAGGTGGTGAGGAATCGAATATCCCCTTAATTATGACCAACATTTCTTTCTAGTGATTACTAAGCATGAGAATAGGTGAAATCAGAGACAGTAAGGCCTGTTATCTGCACATTCAACATGGGCGCTGCAATTAGCACGTCCCACCACAGGGTGGCGCTCGAGGTCATTATTAATTTAAGAGACCTAATATTACTGAGAAGAATAAGTTTAGGTACGGACTTTTGACAGACCAAATTTTACAAGAGAAAATTACAAGGTAATCCGTCTTCTTGAGGAAATCATCAGACTAAATATTGGTCAAGTAAAATGATTATCTTGAGAAAGTTTTGAACCCTTAAAAAGCAATCCATTCCGAATACAACACTAGTTGACAGATTTTATAATTAGTGAACACTGATGTATTTGGGTCACAGGAGGTGTTAAGTTACATAGAAAATCCTTTTATTTGTCTTGAACCTTAATTCATTAAACTTTGCTTAAATATGAAAACAACCCAGCTCACAAATATAAATGATTCTAGGTTAAAAAGTACACCGCCTGGATGTATCTTTTTATAACGAGTTAGTTGTAGTCTGACCATATAGTTACGAAAAATGTTTTCAACCAGTGGTGAATAAGTAGTTTATAGCATGAAACTGTACTAATATATAGATTTAGTCAGGGCTAAAAGCGAGAGCTCTCATTAATAAATTTATAATTTAAATCAGACACATTCACGTGAATTTTGAGGGAAAGGCTAAACAATTTTAAAGAAAATAATTTGCAAACAGTCCTAGAGTCAAACAAATCTGACATCGAGTTTATAGCCTTATACACTCTTTTTTTTTATAAGAATATTGTTTTTCCGGCCCAGGCTGAATATTCTTATTTTTCTGCCGATTTTAGGCTGAAAAATAAGAACATAATAAGAATTTAATATCGAATACTGTAAAGGCAAAATCAATTTATTGGGGTATCAATTACAAGTGTTTGGTATCTAGATCTGTGCTGAATACTGTACATATGTATTACATGTACCGTTCATCGAACTGTCATTAGCGTTGACCATTTTGCTATAGCTAGTGCAGCTTTTTCGTTTTGTTGGCAAGTTTCGCCGTTTAGAGAAAGGAATAGTTTTATACGGTTAAGTTAAAAACATAAAATTGTATTGTATTTACAGATGTTTCAACACACAAAATTATATCTATCCTTTTCAAAATCACACTCAGCCTCGGCTTTATTCTTAAAATATTCTTAAAATTTCGCAAATTTCAGCCTCGATATTCTTATAAAATATATTCTTATAAAAAAAAAGAGTGTATGCACACCCAAACGATAGCAATCATCTTTGATGACTCTTGATCATAGTAGATTGGCCAATTTTCACATTGTAAAGGTTCCATTCCTTTGTCTAAAAGGCAGGCCAAAATAAAAAGTCAAGCCGAATTGTGTTTTTTTGTTCGACAAGTTTACATTTACATTTACATATATCATCTTGCAACATCTATAACAGACATATTCGCAAGCTCCTGACTAAAAACTAAAGCACTTCTACTAGGAAACATAAAAATAAAAAATACAATAAATCGAAAGGGGTAAACCATTTTCCAACCTTGGTCTCACTAGCGATTTGTAGGCCTGACCCTTAACCTTCTGTGGGCAATGAAGCAAGTTCCTCTTGACAAAGCCAAGTGTCGAATTGGCTTTGTTTGTAATGTTTACGATATGTGGCTTCCAGTTTAGGTTCTCTGACAGAGAAACTCCGAGGTAAGGATAGTGGTCTACAGCCTGTAGAGTATGGCCAACATCCTGGAGAGTATGGCCAAGCATAGTGTATGGGTGTATAAAGGGACACTTGGTTCTGAAAACGAGTAGAACGTAACACATCGATGGGTTAAAGGCCATTCGCCACAACTTTGCCCATTCAACTAATTTCAGGGACCGCGCAGCAAGTTTTCGAGTGGGGGGGCTAAAGAAGAATGCCTAAAGGATTTTTTTTTTGGGGGGGGGGCATGCTTGTGGATTTCTATTCAATTTCTCTTAAGTGACGGAGAATGCGAATAACGATAAAACTATTGATTTTTTTCACATCTTCAGTGATGTTGCTATCGGGTCTGAAAATTCACCATCACTAACTTGAAATATCATAGATTGTTATGTTATACTACTGATATCAACCTTTAATTACTATAAATAAGCAAGAAATCCAACGATTTTGCTTGAGCTGACTTGAACTCAAGGCTGTATAATTACGGAGCAATTATTGCACGAGGCTGAGTATGATATAAAGAGTTATGCAGATCGAGGGGGTTATCCGCCAAAGCCGAAGGATAACACCCTCCGAGATCTGTATATCTTCATATCATACGAAAGCCGAGTTAAAACTTGCAATTGGAATGCTCAACGAGCCGTGAAGCCTGACATCAAAAGACGGACTTCGCGCTGATCGAGCTAAAATCAGGACGCACAATAACAAGAGAAACAATAACTTCATGATCTTCCAAAAATCAAGGTTGAAACTAATAAACAATTTCTTTGAGAATGGCCTTATAAACTAAACCCAGTT